TCTCAAGAATCTGCAAAGCCAGTCACCCCTAGACCCTGACCAAAAAGGATAGCCGTCGGCTCTCTTAGATCTCAAGAATCTGCAAAGCCAGTCACATCTGGGATGAAAAGAGGACTGGAAGGAAGAACAATAACTGAGGATGCAAATGTCTGGGCTTCACAACCTAGCTGAGAATCTGAACTGCATAATCAGGATAATTGTGGGGAGCTGGATAGATCTGCTGAAGGAGGAATTCGCATGGAAACCCGGAGAATGGGGGTTACTTTACCAAAAAGCCAGTCCCCTCCAGAGCCTACCAGCTCTCCCATAGAACAGGTTCTTCAGCATACCATGAATTCTTTCTCACATCCGTACCTATTGACTAAACAAGACCAGGTTCCCCAACAATCAGCACTGCTGCTGAGCTAAAGAAATTGAAATACAGGAAAAATACTGGAGACCTTGTGCTTTTATTAGGTTCCGATATCGGAGTTATGGCCAAAATCAATACTCCAATTAAAAACCCCAATACAAGACCTGGAATCCGACCCAATTGAACGGGTCGGGTGACCTATGGCATGCAGCAAGAAAAAAAAACAGCCCCTGTAACTTAATACACAGTTAAGTTTGGTTACGAGATGCTGTTGAAGATGGACAAGATCATTAGGGAATGAAGCAGACCAGATGACAAAGAACCCGTGGAGAAAGATATAACACTATCAGACCTTTGAAATGGAAGGAAGGTCCATTGGCAAGTGAATAGGTCTTGGACGGATGCTCTCAGCCTTTAGAAATCTCACCTGTTCATCGGGCGCCCTCGAAGTCAAGTCCGATACAATCAAGGAGAGTTTCTGGACGGCAACTGTGTAATCATCCATGGCCTGTGTTGGCAAATGATAAGAAGCATATGAGCCCGATGTCATGTCATTCACAGTTAGCTGCAGATTGCAGGCAAAGATGCAGTGAACAAAGATAGCGTACATAAAATTAAGCAGTACCAGCCAAAACAAAATCATAAATAAATGCACGTTTGCAGCCTGATATTTCTAAACTTCTCTGAGAACACACTGCCTGTTGGCCTGATCTGCTGAGTCCGAGTTTGCTTTGCTGTGCTGTCTGTGTGTTTGAGAATCTACGTGAGGCTTGCTGACTCCGAGTCTGAGTCTGTGCCCCTAAGCTAGCTCTGTTCGTGTGCTGTGTTTCTGCATCCCTGGAAAGGTAGGACAGTAGATAGGTGTAGTTATAGGGGTAGAACTGAAAGTTGAACGATGGACGGAAATCATAGGACGGACAGGGACAAAAGTTAAATTCGCCGAGGACCCAGGAGGGAAATTCCAGTCACTCGGGTAGGTAGTCCGCAAGGTTCAATAGGCCAGCAGGTGACATCATGATGGTGCTCGCCTGTATGAAACTGTCCCTTATTGCGTCTGTCGGTGTTGGGCAATCTCCGGTATGTGTATGCTTTTTTTATTTTTTATTTTTATTTTTCTCCAGTATGTGTATGACACATCCATTCCCCCTCATTCACACACGCTAACAGTTTGCACCCCAGTCGACCCCAATTTACAGGAAACTTGAAAGCAGACCATTGGACCATCGGTACGTGATTGACAATACCATGTGTGTGTGAAGGAAGCAGAAATCAGAAGAGCTCAAAAACCATAACGCTATGTGATATGGTATATATCGTCAAATAGAACTGCCCGGTAAACTGTCAGCAGAGAGGGAGAAGAGGACAACAAACGAGAGGCTGTATACATGATTTCTATAACAATTTACTATGTGGTGTTACTGGTTTATCTACTATCCAACCATTTACCTGAGGAGAAGGCCTAGGGTTGTCCTCCCTCCATGGTGGCAGGCTAGACCAGAGGGCAATTATGGTGTCAACGAAGTCCTCTTCAAGAAGGATGTCCACTGGTTGCAATGCCAATACGAAATGCTTGAAATACTGGATACCAGTGTATCGCTTGAGCATGCTCCACTCAAGATGAAGCAGGGGCAACTCCTCCGGTCTTGGTCTCTCGACCTCACCTCCATTCTCTCCAGCGGTTCCCTCTCCCTGCAGGAAGGAATGCAAACATAAATCAAACTGAGCGGGAACCACATCCTCAGAAAAGTCTTTTGTGATCGATGCCCAAACTTCCACATGGCTTTTCAAAGCACACCTACACAAGAGAAAACAATGATCAGTGGCTGCAATGGATGAGGCTGCTAGAAAACTGGAGGTTCTAGTTGGTTTCATAATGTTTGTTTGGATGGACGGGCAGACAAACGGACGGACAGTCACACAGATGAAAAGATGGACACACTGAGCGGCAGAGTCGTAGAGCGGCAGATGGGCATGCAAACGAGTAGAGAGACAGAGGGAGATGCAGATGGACGGATGGATGGATGCATTGATGGATGGCGAGCGAACGGATGTAGGAGAGAGGGGTTGGGTGTTGTAGGAGGGTTATGAGCAGGGGACAAGAGAGAACTGACCTCAACTGCTGCTGCTGCTGCTGCTGCTGCAAGGACAACAGGCCTCTGTGACGTCAAAAGCTGGTTGTCTATCTGCACATTCTGCACGGAGAACTTCACCGCACTTTCCTTCACCTGTTTTGACACCGCGGAGGAAGTAATTAGGAGTCCATTTCTTCCAGAGGCTCATAGCCCAATTAAATGCATCCATTCACAGAATAACAGAGCTTTCCCAGAGTGGTCTGGCAGGAAAACTTACACTTTGTGCAGATGTGAAGATATGCCGAGTCCTAGCAGGTAAATCAGAACTCTACTAAAAGATCAGAAATCTTTAAGGAATCTGCAAACCAATTTATCAACAGGGCATGGGAAGAAGTATTCTTTTTTTTTTTTTTTTCTGTTTCAAGCTTACACAGGATTAATCCTCTCCTTGAAATTGCTTTCCTCACAAAGCTGATTGATCGGTTGCTACTGCTGCTGTTGAGAGATGTTTCCCTCTTTGAGACTCTGCTTTCCTCCTGCCTCACTCCTTGTTTGTTTTGTTTGCATCACTCCATTATTCATTTATTTATTTATTTTTGCCTCACTCCGTAATGAGTCCATATTAATCAAGAAAAGAAGACAGAATCCAACATCTTTTACGTTTACTTGCGAGGAAGTAAAAATGCAACATACCATGTCGTGGTATTCAGCATTTACATTTGACAACAACACGTGAAAAATCTCCCGCGGAAATTCATCTGTCACCGATAAGCTTATGCCTTCCAGAACAACCTGCAACATGTGCAAGAAAGCCGCAAGCACAATCGAGAGTCAAACTCCATACTAGCACAATCACCTGGCTGGTTGTTTCAACATCTGGAAATGACCACATGCTTGGGCACCATGCAGCTCGTCAACGGCCACCTGGCAACTCTATCGGCGACAGAAAGGGATCAGCAAGAGCAAGGCTGCTGTTGAATGGAAACAGCCAATGACCAAGTAAATGAGTATGGAAAAGTCAAACCTCTCTCGTTGCTGAATGATACACCTGTTAGATCATTGATCAACAGTAGAAAAGATCAGATTCTATACAGCATGATAAAGGTTCATGTCCCCTGTAAATTTATTAATCCTATCCCTTAAGAAGTTAAGAGTCATGGTTGCAGTGCGCCGCGGTGCGCGGATTTGCGCGCCGCACCAGAAAAATTAAGGTCCAAAAAAAAAAGAAAAAAAAGTAGGGGTTTCGTAATTTCCTACGGCCCCCCGGCAAAAATATTCAACTCATCGCACGAGTTCGGAAACCGGCCGTGCCCTTGGCCCGAAAATTGTTTTTTGGGCAAGGGCTCCCGAATTTTGAATTCCGCAGGCCCCTCCCCCAAAAATTTTGAAATTGTGGATCGTGAAAATAGAGCTCATTCCAGTCTTTTTTTTAGCGGGGTGTGGTTACTGGCCTTCCCCCTCCCTTCTGCAAATCCAAGACAGTGGTGGACGAATTTGCAAGAAGGGTGTAATTGCCCAATAGTGTCCTGCCCCATGATGTCCTGCAGAGATCACAACATATGTTTGGAGAGGCCAACCGACCACCAATATATCCTGAAGATTGGCATTCAGGTCTGCATGTCGGCAGTTATGGGTTAGGATGAAAATGCCTGTAGCTATCTCCTTTTCTTCTTTTTGTTTTCTTATGAATACGTACAGTGGCCCAAGGGGCCTCTCTCCACTACTCACCACATGCACAAAAGACATGCCATATGGCGGTGTATGGTTCCATATTTTAGCATAAGATTCATTCTAATGTTTTATACATTTGGTGAGTGGTGGAGCTAGGCTCTGACAATCACGTGGAGACACGAACAGGGTCTAGCTGAATTGGTGACCCATAACTGCCGAGCTACAGACCTGAACTGGAACCCACAGCATATATTGGTGGTCTGCTCCCACTTCTTCCATATATGACGCGGCCATCCTGCTTGTTGAAGCAATGATCCTCGATGCCTCCACAATGTCCAAGTGTATTGTCGGAGCCATTTGAGTTACCTGCCCTGAATTGACTTAAAGGGGGCCCTTTGCTCTCTCTCTCTCTCTCTCTCTCTCTCTCTCTCTCTCTCTCTCTCTCTCTCTCTCTCTGTGGCACGAATAGATGTTTTGTTTTGTTTCGTTGTTGTTGCTTTTTGTTTTTGTTTTTGTTTTTGTTTTTGTTTCTTTTCCTGCACTTGGCGCACAGTGCGCACACTGTAATTCCAGCGCACTGCGCACCTGCCTGCACCACACTGCGCACTCGTGCACCGCAACTATGCGTACGACGCATCCGCTGCTGGGGAGGGCTCCTTGGCAACCTGCGCACCAAGTCAAGATAGAACTTTGCATGATGTTGGTCGGATCACGCAGATCGGCCGTCCAATGCTCGACTTTGGTCTTTTAAGCTTTAAACTCTTTTCCAACAAACTGTTCACTGCGTTTTGACAAAGCGGGGCGCAGAAGGGTGTTTCTGTTCAGGACGAACGACATCGATCGTCTCGGATTGTGAGGGGCAGAAAAGAACATCGTTGATTGAGAAAAAGGAAAAAACAAAAGGCAAACTGAAAAAAAAGAAACATGTGCATTTTATATTTATCTGACGAACCCTGCAGCTTTTGTCCCGCCTCCGCAGCTTTCAGGCCTCACTCCACTCCACAGCATTCTGAATATATCTGGAACTGGTAATGGTCTGAATAGACTTGAAATTTACCAATTTGGAGAACTTCGGATTACAAAACAGTCGAGATCCATATCAAATGTTGAGAAGTGGAGAGAGAGAGAGAGAGAGAGAGAGAGAGAGAGAGAGAGAGAGAGAGAGAGAGAGAGAGAGAGAGAGAGAGGTGGGGGGGGGTGCGGCGTTGCGTGGGTGCCACTGCCACGCTGGGTGGTGCGTGCGGCGCAAAGTTTTGCCCGCTGTTGCGCAAAACTGAACGCGCGTGGCACATATTTTTGCCCTGCTGTCACACGAAACTGAATGTGCACGCCGCAAATTTCGCCCTGCTGCTGTGCCAAGTTTTTAGGGAGAGACTTGCAGCTGAGATGGCGATGGGGCAGGAGGAACAGGTATTGGGGATAGTCATCAAAAATTTTCAAAATGATTGGTACTATTCCAACTCTTTTGTTGAGAGGTAGGGGCTAAGTACACGGGCAACAAGTTTGGTACATAGTGGTCATAGTGGTAAGGTGACTTGGTTAAGATGTTGCAATTAGTAGTGGAGTCGATCTGTTAATTTGGTAGCTGCCATGGGGCACGCGCCAGCATGCCATCCTTAGGTCATCTCATGTTGAGCGTCTTCGGTACCAATAGGAGGTTTTCCGGCCACCATGAGCTTCTGCTACACGGGCTAGGATGGGAGGACATGTTCTCACCCTGTCTACCAGCCCCTCTAGGTGCTCCTTGGTGCGAAGGGGGCAGAGCCCCTCCCCCACCTTCTCTTGTCTACCCCCCTAGGCTGTTCTATCCCTGTCTGCTGTACCCAGTACCCATTCCTTCTGCCCTCTTTCATCAACCTTACCCCCATTTCCTCTCTACTGTTTCCTACCTTATCATGCCTTAATCTGGTGCCGGACTGCCTTCCCCCAGAATAGATGGACCAAATGTGTGCAAGAACAAAAACAAAAAGAAGAAAGGGAGTGCAAGAACGAAAGAGATGAGATCAACGAAAGAGATGAGAATCTTGTCATTTCTCTCATACTTGTTTCCTCTGGCTGGCGCATGGCCACTGCCTTACATATCCCCATTTATCTCACCTTTGTGAAGAATCCATTGCCATTGTTTTCATCCACACTTGACTCTTCCATAATCCACTGCAACCGTAATCGCACATCTCCAGGGACTGCGTCCTGCATGTACCCATGCAATCAAGGGAAGCAACACCAAGCAGTATAGGAACCCAAGGAAAACAGAAAGCGCCTTGAGTGTCTGATACTGGATTCTCTCTCTCTCTCTCTCTCTCTCTCTCTCTCTCTCTCTCTCTCTCTCTCTCTCTCTCTCTCTCTCTCTCTCTCTCTCTC